ATCGACATCTTCAATGGTTTTAAATTTTGAATCAAGCATAGGTACAGTTGTTGTAATATGTTCTATATTCTAAACGTAATAGAATGAATCTCGGAGACTCGCGAAACCTGGTACGGCATAAGCTGGATGTGATGAATACAAAGGGAAAACGATATTCCGGGATCGCAAATATTTCGATGCTTCGAATGATGCGCCGGTACTCCCAGAAAACATACTGTACTCCGGCAAACTCTGAAGTATCGGATCAAATATTGACTGATTGACAATAAGCTTTTCCCCTGAGAAGAATGGTTATTTTCAGCAGAAGATAAAACAAGAAAGAAAAGCAAAATTTTGTCCCTAATGAGGACGGATCATTGTAGAACTAGTGCAAAAAGAAATAGAGTTTGATAGTGACATATGTACATGGAATAAAATACAAAATTCAACTAATATCTCTTTTCTGGTAAACGATGTGGCGGTTGTACAACATGGTTTTTCATCATTTTGTCCTTTTCCTCTTCAGCTTGTTTTTTTAGTTCTTGTAAAAGATTTCCGTTCGTAATATCTTCACCAAATTTGCGTTCAACACGTATACTTGAATTTAATTTAACTGATGTTGGTTGGACAGGAATGTTGGTAATTTGTGAGTAAAATGGAATTATTGATCGTACAGCAGATCGAGAACTAGTTTGATTCGTTGCTGTTGATGGCGTACTTGTCAGATTTGTAGTATTTCGATGAGAAAAAGAAGAAAAATGTTCGTCCGAATCTAAAATAGGTTAATAAAAACGATGATCATCATAAATATTGATAAAATTTTGATCATGATCAGATAAATGTTTGGTCGTTGTTTTGGCCGGTTGAACATTATTGAATTAATCCGAATCACTGAAACAGGAAAAGAGTCATTGTGATATAGAGCTTATCGGCGCTAATTAGTTTCATACTTTTCATCATCGTTGATGTAATCAAAAGTACCTTGACGTCAAGATGAAGAGGGCGGAGAACTGAACATAAAAGACTTTTGAATCTTGTAAAGTAAAAGCATTTAACAACGAAAAATTCTAATACAAATTACCATCGAGAAGCAAACGAAACATCTTATAATAAAATAAACTAATTGAATCCCTTGTATGAACGTTTAAGTTGAAAAATATTTGCTTAAACATATGAATTAGAAACATGAATGCCTCAATATATTCTGATAAAAACACAATCAATGACGTAAGAATATCAGCACTCTAAGTTAAATCAGGTGAAGATGCTTCAGAACTGATGATATTCTAAAAATTATAATCTATCTTAGTCAATCCGAGCTGATGTATGAATAGACAATATAATCCTCAACGTATCTGAGCTAATATCGGCCCCCGAATGAGTGGAACTCAATTGTTCTTTTTGATAACTCACAATGATGAAATTAAGGGTCTGTATGATTGAGTTTAGAAAAATTGAAAGGATCTAAACTTACTTAATATCCATTTAAGTTGAAGCCGAAGAAATATTCATGTCATTTGTATTACTATTAGATGCTTGTGTTGTGTTTAACAACATTGATAAAATATTATTTGCTGACTCACTAAAGTATATCGGTTACAACAGAGAAATAATATTGTCATATCTTACTTATTGATAATGGTATTGTTATATGATGAATACCGAGGAACTACTTTTTCTTTCATTGCCTCTGAATTGGAGAGCCAAACACTAGCTCGTCGAAAACCATCGGAAATAACAGTTGTAGAAAATGAACTTGAAAAAGATCACTGAAAAGCTTAGGAAAATACATCTTTCTAATCGATTTTCGTTTTGTTTTTCGAAAATACGTGGACACTAAATTTCGCCATTTGTTTTTAGCAACTCTAAAATCATACAAATTATGATCTAAATAACAAAATCAAATAATCATCCTACACATTAACTATTTGCAAGCCTACCGTAAGTCATCAGAAAAATATTTGTTGCATATATAATCCTACAGATCCTTATGTATTCAAGTTTTTTTTCTAATTCGATCTACTTATATTATTATGACTTTATACTTCTGGCTTTTTGTCGTGCTTGTCAAAAATTTGCCCTTTCATTTGTTGATGGTATTAAATTTCTGCTTCTTATTGAAAATCTCTTGAGTACTGTTCCTTATGTTCGTTGTTAGCATAATCGATCACTTAGTGCAACGTAGTGCAAGATGAAGAAAAAAATTTAAATTAGAATACGATCTTGCAGATGTAACAAAAATTACTGAAGATTCGTTCTCTTTGTTGCGAAAATAAGGAAAACTTTTTCGGAAAAATTTTCAAAAGCCATTTTAAATTACTGTTGTAAAACTTCTTCAATATTAAAAAAATAGCCAAGTGATCCTTTTTGTTATACTATATATTTGGAAAAACTTTGATCTGCTTCGAGCAATAAATCTTTTATTAAGCTCTGAGGGATCAAAACGGCTACTCAGGACTTTTGAACTACTAGTTTCTGTACAGCTCACAATCTTATCAAGCATCAAATCTGTTTTCTTCCCCAAAACAATACACTGTGAAATCTGTCGAAAATGATTATATGAAACTGCTTCAAAAGGTTCAATACTTTGAAAAAAGAGATGTATCAATAACTCCAATTTATTGAAACTGTCTAAAATAACTAATTTGCATCCTGTGGATGCGATTGTCAACAGCTCACTTTATTTCTAACATAAGTCAATTCAATGATCAATAGAATTGCAAGATATCGAAAAATTTTAAAAGTCATTGTTTAATTTTAATTAAAATAAAATCCCAAATGCTTAATAAAATCTTCACAGTACAACAAATGAAAAATAAATATGAAAAATATGCGAAATTCGATTATTCTACAAACTACCAATCAATTTGAGTAACAGTATATCTCAGTATGATGAATATTAGGCACTATTTAAATATTTTCAAGTTGTCTGTCCGAACAGATTTTTTGTTCATTGCATAGAGTTATAAGGAAAACATGAAACTGTTCATTTATCATACAATACTTCCTAATCATTATGAAATATAATGAAAAGAGGCTCACTTACACTGTGTCTCGTCTGAAAAGTCATCCTCGTCTACATTCTTGATTTGCATTGGATTATGTAAAAGATTGTTGTTGATTAATATTTTCTTTGATTCCATGAACCAACCCCTTCTGACGTCTTCATTAAACCCATCAAGAGGACTTTTTTTCCATCTTTTTTCCTTAATCATTTTTATTTCACCTTTATGTCGCATCAAGAAGTTGTTTAACCAATGCCGGCTTGGCTCCTTATCTTAAAAAAACATAAAGTAAAGTATTATCTAAATCGGAGGATAAATATTTACTCTTAAGACGAGGATTATGTGTAACGAATTCAATATATTCACCAACTATTTTTTTCAAAATTGTTACTCGTTAGACAAAGATCCATACTTTCCAGTGATTTAATCAATTGTATTAGATAGGCTTCTTGTTTTAAATTTAAATAAAATGAACGACTAGCACCAATCCGTAAGAAAACGTTATTAGTATGGGATCGGATCGTGCTTGATGGTACATTGTATAGCTGTAAAGCTTGAACGGACGTCATTTTACCTTCGATTACTGCACATATCGCATCAATTAATTGTTGTTTAGCATAAACACTACGACGAC